TACTAAAGACAAATAGACTGTGCGCTTTGTAAGTGTAGCTGCACTCATTTTTCTTAGTAACTGTAAAAGTGGCAAAGCTTCACTTTTTAAAGAATAACTAAACAGGTACAGGGAAATTTTAAAAAAAACAGCATTTTTGCTTGCACTTGATTTTATAATAGTAATCAGCAGAGCTTTACTACATTTACTAAGCCCTGCGGAAAATTAGTGCAACTGCACTTGCAAAGTGCACAGTCTATTTGCCTTTAGTAAATCCCTTATCAGAGTGCTGTATGCAGAAGACGGTTCAACATCAGATAAAATGTACTTGAAGACAGAATGTCCAGCTAACTCTCCCATATTCTTCAACGTAGGCCCTCCCCTAGTGTGTTCTTCCTCATAGTCTCTACAACCTACCCTGAAGGGTACTCTCATTCCCAGGCTATAGACTTACATTGTATATATCAGGGGATGTCTGTTTCCATTACTTCTCTGTAGAAGACTCCTCTCATACTAGACTATAACAGGGTACAGCACTCTACTTATTGGCTCCACCCAAGGAAGGAACCTTATTCAATCAAAGGGGTACTAACCTCTGCTTACATCCTGTTATATTGAGTTTGACCAGACTGGAATAGAATATGAAAGGATTAGATACCCTGGCAGGTTTTATTACGGTCTTTGTCACCCTTTCTATTGTTTCTGACTGGTATAGAAAATGGAACATTTTAAATCTTACAGTTGCTTCCAGAGCAAGAAGTATGGGCAAATCTTCCAATGAGAAAAACTGTTTCCGTGACCACTGTCTTACAATTTGCATTGTACAGATCTCATCTCACTGCCTATTACTGACAGGACAGAAAATGAAGAGAAATCTCTCATTCCCTACTCTATCCAAAACTTAAATAAAATGTTTTGGCTATACATACACTTTAAGGTGGAAGGGAATAATAATGCTGTGGGTATATCATATGGCTGGTGCTAGAAGATATCACATACTTGCAGAAAGCATGCCACCATTTAACCATTGAGTGACACCTTAGATCCTTTAAGATATTATCAGTATTCCTAGTGAAAGAAATCTGTGCACCTTGTAAAATGATACATAACATTACCATAATGCATAGTAGTCGTAGGCTTTGCTAGGCCCAAGCACAAAGAGCTGATATCCCAGGTCTTCTCTGATAGGAACCAGACCAATGGCCTGCACCAGCTCCACTGTCATTGATGGTGCTATAGTATTTGATTGCTATTATGCCCTACAGCTCTCTGATGATATATTTCTTCTCAAATCAGAACACAGAAGAAACCAGACCCTGCTTCTTATCTGTGCACAGAGGTGGTTGCTATGAAAAGTAGATCTCCATGAAGAAATTTTGAATGTTATCCCTGGTTACAGTTTAGCTGCTGTATGGAAGGAGTATGGAAACTGTATACATGGACACAGGGGTAGCGAGTACTGAGTTTACATGGCTGCTATTGAGGATGAGAACTATATACAGTATATGGCTTTTAACGAGTAAGAGAGCATATATAGTTGGAGGAAGGGGGGTGTAGTATGAGGGAGAGCATTAGTGGTCAGTGGTGCTTCTTCAGTTAGAAGGGACTTTTCAGAGTCCTCTCTCTGCCTCCTGGCCTCCTGTGGGCTTCTATGGCAGTTCTTATGATACTGAGAGAAAAGACACCAATTTTTTTTCAATAAAATTTCACCCTCTATCCATATTACATAGTAGTTAATATATACCTCCATTTCCACTTCTCACTGTATACTGTATTTGACTTTCGCTTTGTGAAATGTTTATTTCTCTGTTACAAAACTCTAATAACACATATGGAATAAAAAAAAAATTTCACACCAGTAAAATCACTCAAATTCAGTAGCATCCTACCCCTTGTCAAACCTGCCACTCTCAATAGGGAGAAAAGAATTCAACCCAAAAAACAAGGAAATCCTTGTTTGCCATTTGTTGTTAAGACAAACTGTCCAACTCCAAGCTGCTTTTCCCCAATGATGCATTTCATGCTGGCGTAAAATGCATCATAGGGGAGCCTGTTTGGATCTGGATTAGCTGTAGAAAATGTTACTTGATAGACAGGTAATGATAAGGATTTTTCATTTTGGAGAGCTTGGAGAAGAAATGGAACCTCTCTTTGGGCAGATGTCCCTCTACTTCCCACGTGGTCATTGGATAGAACGTTGGGGTATTTTTCTCCAACAGAGTCACAGTAATAAAAATCCTTATTTGTATAGTGGATAAAATAGGCATTTCTGCAAGATTTTTATTACTTTTTGTGTTCCTCTTGGGTGAATATGCCCTAATGTCCTGTGTGGTTACCATGAGTGGTGAATCTCTCCAGACAGGACACAGCAAGTTGGAACGGCTACCAGATTGTCATTGTTGTCTTCTTCCCTGGTGAAGGGATTCCCTTAACTTCCTTTGCAATTTTTGGAAAGAAGATTTCCTACAGTGACACAGCCAGCAAAAAGCACTTCTAATTGAGTCGAGAATAATTCGTACCTTTGTTGGGTATTTATTGGTGTCTTTGCCCCTGTTAAGTTTCTCAGTTCTTTCTCCCTTTTCATGATTTTTTTGAAAACCTTTAAATACCCATAATATATTCACTTCAGACATAATTGGGGCACAATTATAAAGTGGTGAATCTGACATTCACCAAACATTTATTGTAGCTGAATCTTTCAGGTTTATGTTTTCTAAATGACAGTGATTGGTTCACCACTGTTTTTTTTAAATGCCCCAATATGGCCTGCATATACCTTTAGTCACAATTCAACATTACATTCATTCTGTTTATAAAACACATAGGGTTTTTTTTATTATTCTAAAATATAAATTTTGAACATTTAAAAGTGCAACAGTTAACACATCTGTGGAGTACATCACAGTCAAAACAAATAAACAAAGGCAGTGATACAGCTTAACATAATTGTTTTGGCAGTATTTAAGGACTATATAGTAATAAAATATACAAATTGATGTATAACATCATCATAGCTTACGTCCTTCATTGCAAAGTAGGACTTTTAACACAAAACGCATTTCGTAGAAGTATCTTCTGATAGCAGTGTTTGCTGGAAAATAAAAAAATATTGCATTTTTGAAAGTTGAACTTGTTCAACTTTCTTTCTATTGACTTAAAAAGAATCTACCAATACGGTAAATAAAAAGAATGTATCATGGAACCATCACCCTAACACTGCATAATATAATAAACAATCTTGTAGATTTGGTCCACTTGGTTGGTTCTTCGAACCAGTTTCCAGTTTATATTGCATATCATTTGGATTATTATCAATATTTAACAGTGGCTAATTAATGCTAATCGCTAGTCAACAAAGTTGAATTATTTCATATTTATTTAATAAAACAATTTGCTCCTAATATGGCTGTCCTAACATCAACGTAGGTATACGTTTTTTGCACGACCATTTTAGATCATATTAAAAACAACATAGGCATCAACATTCTACAATTTTTAAAAGTCCAGTGCCATATGCTGTTTAGGAACCTTACTTAAAAATGTTGGAATTTGGTAAAATTGTATATTTTAAATATTGGGGAAATGTTTCTCATATTTATGCATCTTAGCACATGTTTTATAACCTGAAGAAGCATAGATGTTCACAGTTGTCTATTGCTAGAGGCTTAACTCAAGCTCATGAAATGTCCTGAAGTCAGCTTTCGTAATATCATGTCATACATTCTTAACATCTGTCCTCCTCATCAAATTCTAGGCTTCTGATATCCGTTACACATTAACAAAGTGCATAGGCTTACTCTTTCACTGGAATCCCACTCAGTAGAGTCAGTTAAGGCAATTATTACTCTGGGCGCCCTTCTAGACTTGTTTCAATATCAATAGTCATGACATCAGTGTCACTAATATATTTTTGCCCAATTAATGCTTGTTCAATTCAATTAAGGGACACCACCCTTACCATTGACATATGTAAATCTAGACCTATACAATCTGATTAATGGTTTAGTCTACCATATACAGTTAGAAATTCTTGGTATTAGTTTTGTTTACTTTGTAACACTGTAGGAAATGCTAAACTAGAGCTAGCTCTATTCTCTGTGCTTCATCAACGTAAACTCTAGTGGTCAACACTATTCTGCCAAACCTAAAGTCATTTCTATCACATGTTAGCAGAATTCTGCTTTAAGCACTATTTCATTATCTGTATTAATTCACAGACACAACACCACACGATTTTATGACTTTATGTTAGTTTGTGAAATCTCTAAAATCCCCTGTTAAAAAAAATATTACTTTCCAATTGTTACAATGGGTTACCAAAAATACTTCTAGTATTAATGTAAATATTTGCGTTACTTGCAGAGAACAATATATATGAGAGCACTGATGGTTACTGAGGCCCGGAGCCCCACAATTTTTACCCCAACTCATGTTAAAGTTCATTGAAGAAATGTATACTTTATGAGTCTTCTTCAGTCCTTTAAAGTGGTTTAAAAGGTGTTTGTCAGTTATGTAACAGCAGCCAATGAAAAAGGAACAGCATGCAGAAGTCTTGAGTGGTCTGTTCGCAATAGTTTATATAATAAGTTTATTTTTTCATTATTTACATAATTACACAGATGAAGTTCAGCTGCTGGTTGGTGCCTGCTTCGTATAGGCCAGAATGCCCTTGAAACATATAGCTACTGTTTAAAGGTCTTTCCACAAATGTAAAAAAATATAGGAAGGATATACTGAGATGCTACGATGTACCGTATGATTAAAAAAAAAATGTAACTTGGAAGATCTCAGGAAGCTGGCCTTTTGTAGGACCATTGATTCCAGTTCCTACTTATGTTCTAGGTGCACATAAAGTTCAGAGAAAGTACCATGTGGTTGGCAAGGCTAATAGTTCCTTGTCATATTGTCCATTGCAATAAAGTGGTCTTCTGAGTAAAAAAATAGAAATCCCTGGATGTCATGTCTCTTGCTTCTGTTATTTCCATGGAATGATTAGGTCAAAGGATGCTGATAAATGTATTCTAGAGGAAACTGTCCTCAACTAGATCTGAAGAATCTATTCCAATGTCGTCCATCATTTCAATGTCTTCGATGGTCTCATCCTCTCTCTTGACAATTGTCGAGCTGCTGGATCCAGTCTCAATTGCACTTTCTTCAGATGTTTGAGAGCTGAAATTAAAAAAGGTTTTTATATTATAGATTTTTTTTTTTAATATAGTATAGATGAATTAAAAGCTGACTGTGTGCAATACAATTTTGGGTTTTAGATTTATATCTAAACTACATGGAACTAAATGTTAAGCCCTGTTCAATGTTTCTAAAGAGGGAGCAAGGAAAGGCAATCCTAAGTCCTCTCAAAAATGTTTTAAATATACAAACATCTCCATAAACAAGGCAGTTGTGCAAGACTTTCTTTGATGGATTGCTTTTGTTTATAGGCAAACATGAGCCCTTAATCTAGCACTGGAGTTTCCCAACATCCTGAACGGGATGCAGAGGTAAAGAGGTAATATATTGTTTCATTGCAGTGGATAGGAAAGGGTTAGGACCTCTGTCATGTGACAAGGGGGTGGAAAGTGAAAGACATTTCCCAAAGACCACCTCACAGGAGTTATAGCCTTTCCCTAAACAAAAAAGAAAAAAGAAAAAAAAAAAAAAAAAAAGTTGAGAGTTGGTAGGAATGTAACATGTTCATAAAATTACCAATGTGCCTGTGGTTTGCACTCGATATTGGATTGGGTTAGGTGTACATGGGCATTGAAGGCCAATATAAGATCAGATAGAGGTCAGTTTTAGTGTATACTGCTCTGTAATTTTCAGTTCAAATACTACCTTCCACACTCTTGAAAAATGCTTCACAAGCTGATGTAAGAAGCAAAACCGTGCCTGTGAAATCTAGTCCTGAAGCTTCCCTGTCCATCTAACTCTCCAGTCTGCCAGACTCCTTCCACCTTCCATTAGGTGTTAGGCACACAAAAGTGTATTGTTGCTCTACAACAACCAATGGAGATGAAGATGTTGAGTAATGGATCCTGGAAGTGGATGAAGACCTAAAGTAGCCACATGTAATAAAGAGGGCTTTGATAATGAAGGTAATTTACCGGTTACACTCAGAACTTCAAATCTGATCCCTTTTGAATGAACTTCTTCTCATTCAAACACTTAGGTCACTGTCAAGCCTAATCTGGGTGTCCACTATTTAAATTAAACACATATTAAGCCATTTAGATAAAAGAAAGTTTCTATAATTACCTGTGTCTGTTTCTCTTGCCTGACTCATCTTCTGATACAGGATCAATATCTGGAAGAGGGATGATGTAACCACTATCAGCACTGAGTCTTTGTTCATCAAATACATTCTCTCTGTCCTTCATTTTGTTCTCATTCTTGTAAGTCACCCCAATGTAGGAGTTGTCAGTTTCGCAACCCATACGAGTTACAGCTGGATGGTCACTTTTCAGGAAGTCGTGGAGAATCTTCTCATAGCACTGTAAAGAAAGAGACACTCATAAGTAATAGTTTTGTACTTTTAGAAAATTCCAGATAAAACAACCAAACAACAAACCCTATCTTTAGGGGAATTTGTGTAAGACGTCCATTTAACTGTTCAACTCCCTAGCTGGTAAAAACTGATAAGCTGCTTACCATTTATTGTTTTCGCAGTCTATGTTATGCTGTGAGAGAGGTTCTTCTGCTGCCCTCAGCAATCTTGGTATCTTTTTTGGGTTGTAGTTTTAGGAAGGTCTCCTTTAATCGCTAAGTAAGCTTTCTTTAAAGTTAGTCATTGCTTTATATAGCACTGCTACTTTCAGAAATGACCGTATGAACTACACTTTTAAAGGAACCTTTATTACAGCGTTTGTTTTCCCTCTATGTTTTGCAAGTATATGAAACTGAGACTTTTATTTCTTATACTGTCAGATGAAGGCAAATCATATCCTCTTAGCTGGACATCAGAGAACATGTTTGTTTTTTGCTAGTACCACTATCTGCTCATTAATTCACATTTATACAATTTGTGCGACTGGTACTACCTATGGAAATGAAGGGGTTATTGCAATGTCTATCTGATGGAATATTATTTCTGCAACTTCAACTAGGCAATGTTTATGTTGTTAAAGCTCACTTGACAATCCCTTCTAGAGATTGGATGATAAAAGTAAAGTTTATTACAACATTGAATACACTGTAAAATGTATATGAAATGAGCAAAGGTTATACAGGCAGTTTACGAATGAAAATCCATTGAAAATAATGCCTTGGTTTACAAATTTTTTTCGCAATACGAACGGATTAATTAGTTTTCAATGCATTTACAAAATTTTTTTTAATAAGATCCCTCTACAGTATTATGCCTTTTTGTCTTTAACCTCCCTGGCGGTATGATTACTTCAGATTTTTGGTGCTGAAAGCGGTACCATTTTTTTGCATGGAAATATGTATTTTTTTTTATTGTAGGCCTGTAATTTAGGAATAACTCACTGAAATCTGTCCGAACAAGAGTCTAGTAAACATCCCGGGTATGATAAAACTTGAAACACGAAATCATAAATTATAATATAATAAATAATCATAAAAATAATAATATAATAATACATTTAATTAAATAATATAATCAAACCAAAAACACTGAAATTTGAAATAAAGCGCCAACTTCGCACATCACTGAGCAAAGTCGCAGAATCGTTTTCAGTGTCTGATGATGAATTTCCCCACGAATCATTATCACTCAATTCTGCAAGTGGTTCTGATTTACTATGGCTGTTCTCTAGCCGGTCTAAAACTGCTTTTGACATAAAGGGACGCTTTTTGGACGCCATGGACTTTTCTAAGTTTCCAGGCAGAAAGAATAGTCAAAGTGAACTCGGGACAAAATGTATGTGAAATGGTTTGAAACAGCAATGTTTTACTATTTAATAATAATTTTTAAAAAAATGACATTTTTTTTTAAATTTCAAATTTGCCGCCATATGTCCCGACGTCACAGGGACCGGAACACCGAAGCCGACATTGGCAGGAGGAGATGGCCAGGGATGCTGCAGGGGATGCATCGCCGGAGCGAAGGACAAAGTGCAGGAACTCCCTATGCAACGCCACATGGTAAGCCCGAGTGTAGCTCGGGGTTACCGCCTTTGGTACTGAAACTCTACCCCGAGCTACACTCGGGAATACCACTAGGGAGGTTAAAGTGCAATTTATAAAGAGTTTTGAACAGATAAGGCTTTTTTTTTTTTTACTTTTTTCTGACCTCTGGAACGGATTAATTGGTTTTCAATACATTTACAAATTAATGTTTAATCATGTCCCTGTACAGTATTTTTGCCTTTAACCTCCTTGGCGGTATTCCCGAGTGTAGCTCGGGGTAACATTTCAGTACCAAGAGCGGTAACCCCGAGCTACACTCGGGAATACCATGCGGCACTGCTCCGGCATTTGTTCTTCACTTACCTTACCCTGCGCTCCCACGATGTGTCCCCTGCAGCGTCCCCGGCCATCTCCTCCGGCCGATGCCGGCATCCGGCTTCTGTGTCCTGTCCCTGTGACGTCGGGACGTACGGGCGCCGCCGGCGGCGGGAAATTTAAAAATTTTAAATAATGTCATTTTTTTTTTTTACATTTTACATAGTAAAACATTGCTGCCTCAACCCATTTCACATACATTTTGTCCCTACTGCTTTGTCCTGTGCCCTGCCTGCATTTTGTCTGTTCTTTCTGCCTGGAAACTGAGAAAAGTCCATGGCGTCCAAAAAGTGTCCCTTTAGGTCAAAAGCGGTTTTAGATCAGCTAGAGAACAGCGATAGTAAATCAGAACCACTTGCAGAATTGAGTGATAATGATTTGTGGGGAAATTCGTCATCAGACACTGAAAACGATTCTGCGACTTTGCTCAGCGATGTGCGAACTTGGCGCTATATTTCAAATTTCAGTGTTTTTGGTTTGATTATATTATTGAATTAAATGTATTAATATTATATTATTATTTTTTATGATTATTTATTAAATTATAATTTATGATTTTGTGTTTAAAATTTTATCATCCCCGGGATGTTTAATAGACTCTTGTTCAGACAGATTTCAGTGAGTTATTCCTAAATATTACAGCCTACAATAAAAAAACTACATATTTCCATGCAAAATAATGGTACCGCTTTCAGCACCAAAAATCGGAAATAATCATACCGCCAAGGAGGTTAAAGTGCATCTTATAAAGAGTTTTGAACAGATAAAATACTTTTTTTTTTTACTTTTTTCTGACCTCCAGAAAGGATTAATTGGTTTTTAAATGCATTCCTATGGGAAACCGCGTTTCAGTTTACAAATTTTTTGCAATACGCAAAGTCCTGCAGAACGCATTAAATTCGTAAACCGAGGTACGCCTGTACTAATTTTCTTCTGTAGTGCTATAAAGACGGTCATACATGAGTCAAAATTTGGTAGCTTCAGCAGGGACCAGACAAATTTTGATCTATGTATGAGCAGGGAGGATGTACAGATCTACTTCAGTATAACCACCATGTTGGATTTTCCCCACTTGATCAACGCTGCAGACAATAGCCTACAACACAGGTCAGTGTATTCTGACTGCAGGAAAGTCTCCTAGCTGTCAGAAAACAATAGCTCAGCAGGGAGTATTGAGTGTATGGGTGAGAAATCAAGTCAGTTTATTTCATTCAACTAGGTCATCTATGGGCTGCCTAAGCTCTAAGCTTTGTCATTGTATTACATGCAACACTTTGTACCGTTTTATACTCTGCAGGTAGAAGACTTTCAACTATTTCACTCAGATGGTAGAAGGAAGGTCTCTTCTCTGGCTCGCTGTTCCAACATTTCACCATTATGTCATACCTGGGATTTAAAAGAGAATTAAGATGTCTTCATAATTACCAGCAACAAAACATTGAAAAATACTTTTGCAGGGTATTTTCTTTACACGTATATACTTACACTTCATGGGTAGCATACTCTGGTTTTGCCATTCTGTAGCCACTTTTGATCTTGTTATAAAATGAAGAATCCACTACCATCCCTGGGTATGGTGTTCCACCTTAACACAAAAGAAAAATGAATGAGGATGTTGCCTCATACACACTATGCATCTCTAATCAATGTTAAAACAGAATTTATAGTGTGAACCTGGGGGGAAAACATAACAAAGAAGAAATACTCAAGACCACATATAGCTTACCCTAGCACTCACTTCTCTATCATCACCCATAGCCCCCCCCAAGTGGATATGCAAGTAGCAGCTTTCCGATGGTCACACATTGAAGTGTGCCCTTGATTCTTGCTATATTTGGGTCACCGCATCTGCTCTTTGCGACTAGACTCTGCCAGACTACACCCATCACCATTACCTTGAGGTGCACTATCACTTAGTTATTTTGTAAGCTTACATACTGTTGCTTAGCAAGACTTCTTACCTCTGCCATATAACAATGCTATGTATACTGTATATGCTTGTTATTTGTATAATGATTGTGTTTTCGTTCATTTAGAAATATTCAGCATAGCTCCAGAAGAAGCTCTATTTATCACAAAACATGTAGAAATCTGACCTAAATACATCAAGAAGCGCGTTGAGGTTTCAAGTTGCCATCTAAAGATCTTGATAGATGAAACTTACTAAAATGCAGATGGCCATTGATGTGTTTTGGTTGTTTTCTATTGTCTCATGTATGAGAATTGTTTTTAACAAGTTGTGAATAAAACAAAATGATTTATCTATACAGGTTTTTTTGTGGCTGGTACCTGTAAAATTCCTATTCCCTTACTCCGCAATTTAGTCATGTTTATCAACAAGGATGCGGTACCATAAATTATATTGATGAAGATTCAGCATCATTTTTTCTAAGCCCCATCAAGCACATAGATTATTGATGGCTTATTTATACCATGGGGGGCTTTGATAGTATGTGGGCAGTCTGGAAAGTGTTTTAATATGTTGTAACTCTGTTTATAATTATTGTCTTATTTGTGAACCTTAAATAATTTTGTACTTTTGTAATGAAAATGGTAGTGCCTATAAAGTCCATGTCTCAAATTATTACAATAAATTAGGATGAAGTACTTTTTACAAGTACTATGCAACCACAATAGCCATTCCTGAGTTGGAGCAGTGTTATTGAATCCCAATATGGGTCAAGCACGACGTTTTTTCCTAAAAATGCTTTGCTTTCTCCTTTTTTTTTTTTTTTTTTCTTTTTGCTTATGTCTTTTCACTAAGTATGACAACAATGCAGTATACTATGTATCAATGTATTGGGACATACACAGTGCTGGCACCCATACTTCCTATATAACATCATAATTTTAAACACCTACCAAGAGAAAAAATATTTCCCAAAGAAGAATGCCAAATGACCACACATCACTCAGGGTTGTGTATAGGTTATCAAAAATGCTTTCTGGTGCCATCCATTTTACAGGGAGAAAAGTCTACAGAGCAGAAAACAAGAAATGCAGCAGTGAAACCCAAGTCATTCACATTATACAAATATCCAGACAAGTCAACATGATGTGTCTGTAGGGAACATTTACGGATGTTTTTAGCATGTAGCATCACTTGAAATCTCCCTGTAACTAGAGTTGTGGACAGCTTAGTATAGGCCATAACATAGCAAAGGATATAATCTCAACAAATATTTACAGGACTAGCTCTTGTTTGTGTATAGAGTAAAACATTTATCCTAGGCAGACTTTGGGCGCGGCTGCTAAATGGAGCTAGTGATTTAGGGTTTGCATATGTTAGATAAATGACATGTAATTTACTTTGACCTAAACTTCCACCAAGCATCAATGCTCTAAAATCAAGCGTGGCTATGAAAATTATAATCTTCTATCTGTGTTAGACTGTAAAGCAAGGGTAGAATTGATACGTACGCTGCCCTTTGAAACATAATTAGAGTCATGCATGATGTCTCTGGCCAGACCAAAGTCACAGATTTTGACTATTTTTCCTTGTGCCAGCAGAACATTTCGAGCTGCCAAGTCACGGTGTACACACTGTAAGAGGACAAACAACATGGAGAAATTAGAGGCTTTGCAGGGCGTGGATTAGAGCACAACTCTGGAATAAGTATGTAAAATGTACTTACATTCTTCGAAGCTAGGAACTCCATGCCTCGAGCAACCTGGTAGGTAAAACTTAGCAAATCCAGCATCGTCAAACCCTCAAAGCCTTCATCTGAGAAAAGGTTTTTCACCTCTGTTTAAAGTAAAATTAGAAGCATTGTATGGTAAGCCACTAAATCTGAGAAATTGTTAAAAATTAAAAAACAATTCTAGTTAAATATTAAAAATCCAACCATGACTTGGTACTTTGATATAATATATATCATAAATCTGATATATTATTCAATACATTAGGATTTTCTGTGTTGCCCATTTTAGGATGGGATGAGGCTGACTTGTTTGTATTAAAACTGGATTAATGAGCAGATACAATAAAATACAGTATGTCTTGCATAATCTGCAACACATAATAACAGCTGTTTCTCAAAAACCTTTAATCATGAAAAGTGTTTAGGGATATTTCCTTTAATTGTAGGCAATTAAAGTAAAGATGGTGTTTAAAGTAAATAATCTGATAATAGCACTGAACCCAATAAAAATAATAATTATCTTATTGTAATATTCATTTGTAGTATTAGAATTATGAAAAGCTGACACAAGTGCCTACAACATATTTACTTCAAGCTGACTTAAAGTCTCATTTACCTGACATAGGCTTCTTTTTGTAAGATGCTGGCCGATCATACCAGGATCTCTGAATGTCAGAATACTTAGACACCTCGTTCATTTCATGCATTGGAACATACTGGGTATTGTCAGCCTGCTTCATGTCCATATAGTCACCATTATTTTCAAAAGATAAAATGACATAGCTGCAATAGAAAAAGAAAAGTAATTTGAACCTGTTTATGCCTTATAATCCAGGACAGATACATACATGCATCTACAAACTCGTAATTCATAAATTCTGTATAGCAATTGAATCCAAGTAACATGCTATTATTTACATACGGAAAAAGCTGAAAACATAGGTGAATTTATCTATATATGGTCAGTTTGGTTGGCTGTTTTCTTGATCAAGTGACATAGAAAAGGATATAATTTTAGTTTTAACATTAGTAGTCATCCTAGGTCTGTGGAATGTTTTAAACTGTAAATACAAAATGTTCTTTTATAGAACTAATAGCATATTAAAGGGGTGAAGCTCATATTATGGTTTATCAATAACTGAACCGTAGTCAATGTTATAGCTGGTTCCAGACACTGACCAGTGGGGGGGGGGGGGGGGGAGGGTAACATTGAATCTTTAATGGGTGGGCTCTCCTCTTAAATAGAAAAACACATAATTCATTTTGTAGTGATATTGTCTGTTAATGCGTCCCCTTGGCATCTACTTTGGTCAACATATACCTCATTACCACATTATACTGATCTGTTAATGTACTGTATGCAGGGCTGGGGCAAGGGGTGGGCAGGAGAAGCGACTGCCCTGGGTGCAATGATTACTATAGGGATTGGGGTCCCTTCCTTCTGTTAGAAGGCTGACAAGAGTAGTGAATGTAGCAGTGATTTTGACAAGCAAGTGACTGCTGGGCTTAGGATCCCCTAATCTTACCTAATATTAACAGGGGCGGGCACACTTTGGAATCTTTGCCCTGAGCGCTGGATGACTTTGTCCCAGCACTGAATGTGTGTACACAGTCCTATGTATATGGGATGGGTAAAGGGAGCACTCATAAATCAGCTGCTGGAACACTCCAAGGAATCACTAGACCTCATAACATGAATAATAAATAATATAGTGCAGCGCTGTAATACTGATATACAAATAGAAAAATAAGTAAATAAAAGTTCATAGAGTTCCTTATACAGTGTAAAATGGTTGCAAGCGAGAGTGCTGTGAAGTCCTCCTCAGCATTAAATAAGTGACTGGAACCATATAGATAAAATGCGCACTCACCGACCATGCATTAAAAATGCGCATGTATGCAATTATTTATCCAGATAATCGGCCAGGCATATGGATCAGCCAAACGTGTAGGAGAGTAATAGCAACACCAAGACACAAGACACTTGTGTCTTGTGTTTTGGTGTTGCTATTACTCTCCTACATGTTTGGCTGATCCATATGCCTGGCCGATTATCTGGATAAATAATTGCATACATGCGCATTTTTAATGCGCGGTCGGTGAGAGTGCACATTTTATCTATATGGTTCCATGTACACAGTCCTGTAGCAATGTGTTTGTATGTATGTATGTGTGCATGTTTACCTCACATTGCTACATTGTCAAAAGCATACTAATGAAACCAACTGACTTTTATTCTACCCTTTTTGTTATTTCACGGCATGAGACCAAAAAAAACTTGTGTATGTGACAGGATAATATTCACCTATGTGACATTTTTGGTGGTTTTGGTTGCTTCTTTTGTACTGATACCAGTAAAAGAGGAATATGGCTCTGGCATACTTGGCATCTATCTTAGTATACCAACCAATATGCAGTACTTTGGACTTTATGATAACATGAAATATTTAGGTACGAATGCAGGATGTATAGATTAAAGATCATTTCAAGATGGCATGCTTTTACTGAGGATAATAAATATGTTTCCAGCAAATTAGTTAGCATTAAAAGTCAAAACAACCTTATTAGTATAAAGGTAGAAAGTAAAAAGGTGCCATACTTTTCATACCTTCTGGTGCTCTCATCAACGGGGTTCAGGCCAAAGATGTCAAGATCTTTCTTTAGCTTCTCTGGATGTCGACTCTGAAAGGTGTCCCGGTTTTTGTGAAGATAATTCACCAGGTCCCCATAAAAGCAGTATTCAGTAATTATGTAAATAGGTCCTGGAAGATAGTAATTATCAAGCTAAGTTACTGCTTTCAACTGTTTTATGTAATATGGTCTAATTGCACCTCTGTGGTGTCTTGGGCAGATCTAACAAATCTAATTAAGCGTTACTAAAATATAATTTCTAAGTTAGAAGATGACTAAAGCCACTACAACCAATTAAAAAATCCTGCAAGAAGTATTGCATTCCATATGCTGCCAGAGGTTTCATAAAGAGGAAGAAGGTGAGATAAAAATGATCAGATACCTGACTTGGTACATGCAGCTAACAAGTTGACTATGTTCAGATGAGGTCCAAGATGAGTCATGATTTTCAGTTCAGACATTAGAGCTTGTTTCTCACTGGATCTGGCAGTGGCTGTTGGGGGAGAAATATATTAATATATTTATATTTGTCTAAAAAGTGTCATATGTATCATTAAATATTTTTTTTCACAATGGATAGATAAATAGATAAGTAGATCGGATAAATAGAATATAGATAGAAAGATGGTAAGAACACCTACGTTTAAGCATTTTCACAGCAACTTTCATCACAGGCTGTGATCGGCTAAGTCCATATGCAGCTCCCTCTACTACCTTTCCAAAGGCACCAGATCCAAGGATTCGACCTGAATATTATAGATTAAAGACACTGATTGTTTGTTCTATAAAATTATAATAAATGAGCAGAAACACAAGTAAACAAACTACTGTTGTAACTACAAAGACAAGCAACATAACATGCTCACCTATTACATTTTTACACTAATAACAGACATGTCCAGTTTTTGGGGTAGGTGCTATTGGTTTGAATTTGGTCTCAAGATGTATCAATTTATTTTAAATGATTGAGAAAGGCTCAACTTACATCTATGTCTACCAACTGAGTTTTGGGAAGCCAGTAGGCTCAATTCAATAAAGGATAATGAATTCAGCATTTGCATTACTATGTTTGTTTGGCTATTTCATTTCACTTAAAACGTTGCTGTAGAGATCTGCAAAATGTATCGAATGCACATTGTTTTATTTTGATGCATTTCGAATGTAAATATCAATTAGCAAATATTTTGGCACAAGTTATCACTCTTCAAACCACCCGTAGCATCAAGTTGATGGTAACTGTTGGTTTGAGTGAGGTGCCTCTTGAGAACAAAAGAAAGAAGAACTGTTTGAAGTGGTGCTTAAATTAATATTTATGATAAAATGAGGCTTTCAGCAGTTGATTGACCATTTCATGCAACCATATCATGATTTCACACCTGAATAATATTTTTGTCCATGACTTTAACATTTATAGGAAAAAAATATTATGAGATAGATTATTGTAAAGGATAAGCCAACTAAAAAGTGATATTTTAGATGTAGGTCAGCTGTTGCCTTTTTAGATTTCTTGGATACTCTAACACTGAACCTCTTTAGCCATCATAATGGTCACAGCAGATGTCAGGAACTCAAGTGCAGAGATCTCACTAGTAGTGTTCCTAAGAGATACAACAAACTGTCCAGTTGATTAGAAAATGCTAAATATAATGGTTTTTGGAGGAATGACCCTTTAAAATAACCCCATCTTAATAAACTGAGCCTACCGTGTGACTAAAAAGGCATTTTTGAATGTACCTAGGTTTTGGGCACTATCATATTTTTCGCCGTATAAGACGCACCTGACCATAAGACGCACCTAGGTTTTAGAGGCAGAAAACAGGAAAAAAAAAATTCTGAACTAATGGACTGCAGACACAGTACAGGAGATGACCAGAGACTGCGGACAGCACAGGGATGACCAGAGACTGCGGACAGCACAGGGATGACCAGAGACTGCGGACAGCACAGGGATGACCAGAGACTGCGGACAGCACAGGGATGACCAGAGACTGCGGACAGTACAGATGACTGCTGACCTTTGGGGAGGTGGGGAGCAGGTACCTGAATTTGACAGGTACCCGCTCTTACTTCCGCAGAGTTTGTTTGATCTTACCTGTTCCTCGATCCAGCCGCGCGCTGTCTTCCCGGCTTCTGTAATGGCGCTCGGCATGACAGCCGGGTGCCCAGTGCGCATGAGCGAGAAGCACTTGCGCTTTGTGATTGGTCCGGCGGCTTCTGGGATCTGTCATGTGTCCCAGGTACCGCCTTACCATTCACAAAGCGCACCGCTTCTCGCGCATGCGCACTGGGCACCCGGCTGTCATGCCACACTACAGAAGCCGGAAGACAGCGCGCCGCTGGATAGAGGAACAGGTAAGGTCCCGCTGCAGAGCTGAGCGGCCGCCTGGTATTCTGACACAGCCGCGGTGGAAATACCGGACCGGCCGCTCCATATTCGCCTTATAAAACGCACTGACATTTCCCCCCCAGTTTTGGGGAAGAAAAAGTGCGTCTTATACAGCGAAAAATACGGTATATCAAATCTATAAAACTAAACTATGTTTTTCTTACCAAGAACAAGGCCATCTCTTGGAAATTCCCATCGTGAGTCATAGGGCAATTGCATTGGATCTACATATATATACTCATGGCCATCGGGGCTGATTGACTCAATCACTCGCCATCTAATCTCATATCTTGGTTTCTGTAGATTTAAAAAACATGAGATGTCAGAATGTCTATGAACAAATAGGATGTTGACCACTGTCTTATGGTATGTGAGTTATTTTTTTACCTGCTTCCATATAATGACTAGGACTATGAGTGATATAATAACAATCACAAGGAGAACAAGCACAGCAGCTGCCACTGTCAGTTCTGAGCGTAGGGCTGTGAAGAGAAATTCAATTATTACATTGCTGTATTTTAAAACATTTTGCTAAAGGACAATAATGACAAGTAAAGTTAGGAACTCTTCACCAATAAATAATTACTTTAGATTTTTTTTCTTGCATTTTGGATATATTGTGAAGTGAAGCTTGCAACACAGTATCAAGAAGAAATTTGGGTACAGGAAAGAGTATGTTTACTGGATTCTCAAGAATGAGAAAGTAACTGTGAAGAACTAGTGCAACCAACTTTTCAAAAGAACATTTTAGAAACCTGCATTGTCTTAGTACTTACTAGCAGCAACCAATTTCAACTCCCTTGCAACAACCCCAAGATCATTCTTTGCTATACACCGGATCGCTACAGTCTCCTCAACCTTCTTGAAAGTCACTTGACTCTCCACTATGTTCTCATTGTCTTGATGAGTCTCCATGCTGATTCCTGTACCATTGGTTACCAAAACAGACCAGGAGCTGTCATTATTACACCTGCAAAGAATAGCATATTGTCAGCAATTGGTGTTGTAAAGTCATGTAATACAATATTGTTACACTGCACAAAATGTTAGCTCTATACCTTTTTATATCCTTGCAAACCAACCATTCCACATCTGGAATGGGCATTCCTTTAGCTAGACACTCCACGGTTTGCTGACCAGATGAGCCATGGTGATCATCCACTAGTTGCAATATCAAAGCAGGAACTGTGAGGAATTTAAGAAAAACAAAATGTAATAATAACCAATGTGCCTATTTATATATCTTTTCACACAAGATTTGCACAGGTTTCATCCACAATTCACAAAATGTTCTATTCAGATTCAACTGGAAAAATGGTTGAGATGTAGGTGAAAGTTGTGCATTCAGTGTGAAAACTATTATAAAAGTAAGTACATATTTTCAACCAATGTAAGATAAATAATATAAACAATGTGTAAAGTTTACATTAAGTTCATTATGAAACTAATTATAGAACAGTTAGAGCATATGCATAGCACATTTAGATCAAATTAGTGTAAGTGGGTCTCGGGTTATCATTGCCATTAGTAGGTGCAAGATCGTTCAGAAAGCAGGGTGATCAGTTGTCAACCAAGCAGTTCCATAGGTAAAGAAATAAGGTAGTTATTTACAAGAGCCTTTGTATTTCCGTAGGTGTCCTAGGACACGGTGGTTGTGACTGTTAGAAGTTGCCCAAGCAACAAAGCAGCGCAATGTCAGTGAGGAAACTGGCGTAATCAAAGACAGGCACTGACATTCATATTATTTGGGATCTGAATATTGTGAATCCTAGGATTGTAAATATGGTACATTTTCTTTTATGGCACTTGCAAGCTCTGCTGTTAAAATAATTACCAGTAACTTACTGAGGACCTGGAAACTGAAGTGTAATGGCAGTTGAGCGAGCAGTTAGATCCAGGGCTGTGAGGGGGGTTTAAGACAGATGTGCGAGAGTCTTCCCCTACAGAAGTGGTAGCTATGGAGTAACCCATGGGTTCTGACTTTATGATGTATCCTCAATGTGGGTAAATGGAGTAGAACCCCAGAAGCTAGATTTTGTAGTACAACAAGTGATAAATCAGAGTGCCTGACGCAAGTAGACTCTCAAGCTATAGCATCCTATTTGCCTAGAATACAAATCCGTACTGTGACAGGCCATTTGTGCTATTTACACTACAAATATAACCTGATATAAAAATGATCTATTTACCTTTAATTTGCAGCTCAAATGAAGATGTTTTATTTTCCGCATCATTATGAACTACAAGTGTGTACATGCCGCCATCCTCCTCTTTGACGCGGATGAGGTTCAACCTACTTGAATATCTAGTAAAAGAAACAAAATGCACTATTTTCAATTGTAGCTAAAAGTAAACACATAACTACACACTGTGACACACAAAGTGTTTCATATTATACTATATATTACTGGAGCAGGCTTCTTGACATGTTAGATAAATTGTTGGCAACCACTAGTATGAGGACCATAACAGGAGCATCAAAACAGCAAATGGAGTGCAACAAGGTTTTATAGCTATTCTTACATCCACATTCTTACCATCATTCTAAAAAAGGGATAAACTTTAGGGCTCAAATATAGTACGGCTCCGCATGTGTGCACTAGACTAAAGCTGGGTATACACTATCAGTTTGTTTTCCCTTCAGCCAGTGGGCTGAAGGAAAAAAGATGAGCATATACCTGCGCTGTGGAAGAAGGAATCCCCCCCACTCTGCTGTTATATTCTGACAGCGAGGACTCTCCACTTTCAGAACACATTGATCAGCACTGCAGCTCCATTCGACAGAAGCCGATCAAAGGATCAGCTTCTAACAGAGGGCTACACACAGATTGAAATTTGACAGGTGCTTGCTGAAGTGGCCACATTTCGATTCGTGTGTACTCAGGTAAGTAAGTGATAGTCATAAAGGCACCTCAAATTTATGTGTTACTGCAACTACATGTACCCCGATGCAGTGCAATTAATTTTGAATGGTGCCCCAATACTCTAATCCTCTAATCCAGTAGTCTCCAAACTGTGGCCTGGGTGCCAGATGTGGCCCTTTGTTTGCCTTTATATGGCCCTTGACACCAAGGAGGGTGCACTATTCCCTCTACTGACACCATTAATGGGGCACTATTCTTCTCTTTTATTTCAACAATGGGAGCACTATTCCTCCCATTAAAACCAATGATTGGGGCACTGATGCTGGGGCATTAACTGCTCTCAATGGTCACAGTCCGGTCCCCTAAAGCCTGAAGAATAGTAAATGGCCCTTTGCTTAGAAAGTTTGAAGACCACTGCTCTAATCCAAAGTACTTTCACCACAATGTATGGTAACATGCTAACCTACATGATGTGCTGCAAAAATGGTGCAGGTCTGATTTTACATTTTTTGTGGTGTGTTGGCAGCCCAATAAGGCAAATGGGCAGTTCATCAGACAGATTGTCTAAACGGGTCTTAACTAAATATAGATTTACAACATTATTTACTCTAAGACATGAAATTGTTGCACATATTAATAATTATGATCTTACTTAGCTTCCTCGTTCCTGATGGTGGTTGTAGTGATCTCTGTCATGCTGTCATTCAAAGTAACATTGTCCTTTAACCAGAAGATCTTTGGTGCTGGGTAAGCCTCCACCTCCACAGAAAAAGCCTTTACTTCATGGAGATTTGCAAATTCCAGCTGTCTAAATTTGGGGTTCAGTGTTACAAATCCTTTATCTGCAATTCAAAATGTTTTATAGCAATTATAGAAGGTGTTACAGAAATTTTGAAAACCAATAACTTCCTTAAACATACAAATTTTAAAAAATGTCTTTAAAGAAAATGAATTTTAGTAAATCATAGCTACTGTGCTTTCAGCTTAGTAAGGTGAATGAGAGGAGGCAAACATCATCAAAATTCAATCGCATGCAGCAATTTTTGGAAAAAAAGAACTACCCCACCAGTGAAATTTCCTTACACTCACCATGAACTGTGACATTAACTTGCTGTGCTTCTTTGCCTTCTCCTGTAGCAGGAATGACTGCACATTCGTATTCCCCAGAATCCTTTTCTGTAACATTTGGGATGGTCAGAGTATATTCCAGTCTTAGCTGAGGCTTCTTGCTTTCTTCAACCTTTATAATTCCAGATTTTCTCTGCAATTACAACACGTACTCTTTAGGGCACAAAAGAAATAACATTTTAACATGTAAAGCTTTAGGAGATTAAATTAATTTTACAACCCAATTTTACAAATGTGCAGCAAAGTTTAGATCCTGTAGAATCTAGATGTATTTAATAAAACCCTTCCATTCTAAAATCCTCAGGAATCAAGAAGCCCAAATGTGCTTATCTCTTTGTGTTTTTATCTATGATTATAGCAATGGTATCCATCAATGTCATTCTTTCTTAAAAATATACAAAACATCTGCCAAAAATTGCCAAGCTTAACTTTATACAAAAGCCTGTAGCCTTTAAACAATATCATTTAAATTTTACCAGGTAACAATATTCTATAACAACTGTGCTGTGTAAAAGTGAAACAGCTGAAAGCATTGGTGTTATTTTCCTCTTATATGATCTAGATTAAATAAAAATTGCCTTTATCCGGAGTGGATGAGGGATCATTATTCTATACTTGCTTTAAATGGATTGAATTTCCTATCCATGGTCCAGCTACCAGCACGGAAAGGAAAGCAAGTTATTTAATCAGGTAGCAATAGCATTTGAGCATTTGGCAGATACATTTGTAAAAATTTAATGTTAAATTAATAACATTTGGGAAAACCTATGTAACTGCTATAAATGCAATTAGTATTCTGAACCACTGGAAAGTGTCTCTTTTAGATGGCAGTTAGAGGGGGGGGGGGGGGGCATTACCAATTTTGCTATGGAGACCCATCATAAATAGTTACAGCCCTGGCTCAGTACTGATACACCTTCAATAAGTGGGACAATGGTGAGTGCAGCTTTAGCTGTGTTTTGCAAACTTATAGAATATAAAACCAAATAGATGCAGCACATTTCTTTTAAGTGCATGATTTATAATGTAAAATTTATGGTAATTTATGCTATTGGCAAGTAAAAACAATGGTTGAATACAGAAGGTGCGAGATTTACATTTTTTCTTTATACTGTATTGTTATTCTTTAAATAATATAGAGGAACAACTAACATAATGTAGCTAGGCAGAACAATTTGCAGCTTAATGTGGGCATCATTCCTCCTTGGCTGCCCTAGGTTACTGCTTTGTACCCTTTGCCTTGTTAAACACAATCTTGCTATTTTACCTGCTTTCCTGGGTAATTCCATTGCAGGTCAACCACCTCATTCTCTAGGACGATGCAAGAAATGGTGATGGTTTCACCCATTCTGAAAACAGTTTTTGGGGCTTGCATTTCCACAGCAATGTTATTACTGGCTGTAAGACATAGGAAGGGCAATTTAACATGTATTAAATTAAATTTAAACTCTCTGCAACTGCACATGATGAGCATTTTCCATTCTGAACTAATCTGTAAAAATATTTTAGCTTTTTTTTCCATTTGAAATTGATTAAAGATGACAACTATTATCAACATATAAGTGAAAGACCTTTAGGTTTTTGACCTATTTTATAGAAGAAATCGTAAAGTCAAATGTGGACTAGAGATAATGAGTGTTACTACAACTGTTTAGCTAATCTCTAATCCTTTGTTATGAGAAAAGGGCACTGTGTTTAGCTAATAGCTATATGTATTTCTGTTAATTACTTCTTTTATTTTCTCTTTGTATCCCATTTTTTGAGTAAAAAAGTAATGTTTAAGGGTATCTAAAGGAAAAAATGTTTCCCATGGGAGTATTTTTCTGAAAACTATTACAACAATGGCATTTATGTCCTGAAAGATTGATTGGGCATAATGAGTTCATTCAAAGCTTTTAGAGGTCAAGCCCAGCAAAATGTAATCACACACTCAATACATTCTGAAATCTGTGCTGAAAACTCAATCCTCATAATTAGTTACTACACTAGTTTTGAATTTGATTCTGTTATGAATCCTGTACAGCTAAGTAAAAACTAGAAAGGTCAGGCAGAGGTGCTGCCCAGTGAAACAAATCAGATACCTCCTTTCCACCAAACTTCATCTGAAAAATACCAAGTAAAAGCTGACTGGTCACTTTACGGATTGATCCCTAACACCTTTCTTCCCTTCATTTTATGAAAGGTTTGATAAAACAAAGAAAATAAGAATACACCACAAACTGCATGCAGCATTAATAAAGGTAACCTTCAGGACACAATACAAAATATTGTCAGTAAAGTATCATTTAGAAAACCAACAGACATTAGAAGAACGCTTAATTTAGCATTCATTTGCATCTCCATTTAGCATTAAAGTTGGATTGAGAAACAATTTTTCTGTTGGTATTCTCCACATATACCCTCTGGATGACAGGGGAAGGATCAATCATCTGAAATAATTGTCCCAATTACTGTTGTTCCCATAAGATGCGGCCATCACCAGGGGATTTCTATACAATTCATAAACTCGCACCCTCATCTAAATAGATTGTGCATGTTTATGATACAGTAATTATATAGTGGGATCTTGTGGTACTCAGATAGGACAACAACCATTCATGGATAGCCCCAGAGAACACATTGTGGTCCTTTCAGCTTCTAGCTATCAATAGTATTGCAAACGAATTGATCAGGGTTGATTTGATGATAGAAGCAAAAACATCTTGTTGATTATTATATATAATCTTGTTTACTGAAGTTTATTTGAAAGCAGCATCCCTGCAATTTGCAGCCTATTGTGATCTTATCAATGGCAGGTGCAATGTGTGTATCTTGAGTGCTTCTGCAAGAAAGAAATGAGTATGTTGTCTGAGCAGTGGAAATGGTGAGAGTGGAGCCTAACCTGACTTTAGCCCCTAACTCTTGCTCTAGCAAAGTGGAACATTTTTTCACACTATAGGCACATTATTCTCTTGGAACCATTTAGGCCTGTCTAATGACCCTAGTAATAGTAAGAGGTATGTGACATGGTAAAAAATAATTAAATAAAAGCGAGCGCTATCGGAAATCTGAAAGCAGCTAGAACACCAAAAGGTAACCAATAGAAAACCTTCAATATAAAATACATAAACACATATATATATAAAGACCATATATAAGGTGCAGCGCTATAATAACATATGAAACACAAAAGTGCCAATATCAAATCACACTGCGGTGAAGTTAGATGAGATGAATAATAGTCTTAAAAATAAATCAGAAGTGGGGATCCAAACGATCCTAATAGGTGCGTGGGATAAGATTCTGTGCAGCACACGGTGACTCTGAGGTAAGAATTACGCACTCACCAGAAGTGCGTCAAAAAAACGCATGTGGGTTTTATCCTGTAATATCAGAAAACGATCATCCGTTGCCAAGATAGAGATAGAATCCTACACCTTCCAGATCGTCCCTTGGGTATGTGCTTCAAATTTCATAAGCGCATCTCAGGCATATCACCATCCGGGGTCCCCTTTTTAAGGCAGATTCTGCAAGTGGGGACTCTCATAGAAGAGAGCCCAATAAGGGACACCACATAGTGTAATACCGTATGAGCTAGGTTTATTGAAGATGCAGCATGAAAATGAATACAAAGCAGTAAAATAGAATAGAACACTGACCAGGACCCTTTGATAACGTGCACACTGCACGAAACGCGTCAGGGGGGGCTGCATTATCTGGACGTCTGACCACCGCTGGTGGTCATCCTTTACAGTATCTGGTCAGTGTTCTATTCTATTTTACTGCTTTGTATTCATTTTCATGCTGCATCTTCAATAAACCTAGCTCATACGGTATTACACTATGTGGTGTCCCTTATTGGGCTCTCTTCTATGAGAGTCCCCACTTGCAGAATCTGCCTTAAAAGGGGACCCCGGATGGTGATATGCCTGAGATGCGCTTATGAAATTTGAAGCACATACCCAAGGGACGATCTGGAAGGTGTAGGATTCTATCTCTATCTTGGCAACGGATGATCGTTTTCTGATATTACAGGATAAAACCCACATGCGTTTTTTTGACGCACTTCTGGTGAGTGCGTAATTCTTACCTCAGAGTCACCGTGTGCTGCACAGAATCTTATCCCACGCACCTATTAGGATCGTTTGGATCCCCACTTCTGATTTATTTTAAGACTATTATTCATCTCATCTAACTTCACCGCAGTGTGATTTGATATTGGCACTTTTGTGTTTCATATGTTATTATTAGCGCTGCACCTTATATATGGTCTTTATATATATATGTTTATGTATGTGACATGGTGCCACAAAATGAATGACAAAACCATGAAGTTTGTAAATAGGTAGACAAAAATGAGAAGGTCAGAAGTATATATATATATATATATATATATATATATATATATATAAATATCCAACACTATGTGGATAATTTCCTGATATTAGAAGTACCTTTCCACGTCTGTAGGTTGAAATCATCGGTTTTGAAGAGCACACCATTGACCATGGTTTCACAAATGTAGACACCGGATACGAAATTGCCAGCAAAACCTTGCTTGCTGTCATAGAAGGCATTGACAATCTTGTCCATATCCTTGTTCCTCAATGTCACTTGGCTGTTAGGATCAGTCGTCCGACAGGGAACGATAGCAGATTCATCTTCTTCCACTACAATAATGTGGTCAAGCATTGCAGATGGAACAAAAGGAACTGTGGGATCTAAACAAACAGCCTGTGCATGAGTAATATTGCCTTTAAACCATATTCTTATATAGGTAGAAACCTTTAGAATGCATGTTGGAAGTTAGTGGAGACTGTGTAAAGAGAAATGATCTTTTCATGCATAATTAAAGTGATAATAAAGGCCATTAAAAAAAAAAACATATTATACTTACCTGCTCTGTGCAGTGATTTTGCACAGAGCAGCCCCAATCCTCCACTTCTTGGGTCCCCCACTGGTACTCTGGGCTCCTCCCTCATGCCAAAGACCCCTACAGCAAGCAGCTTGCTATGGGGGCAACCAAGCAGGCTCGTTCTTGAGCTGCTGCTCTTCATGTCCATCTGCACACAGATCTGTGGCACAGAGCCAATTGCTTTGGCTTCTGTCTCAGCCAATGAGGAGGGAGAGTCCCTGGAGAGCTGAGGCTCTTGTGCACATCACTGGATTGTGATAAGTATGGAGGGAGGGGTTGAGGGGTGCAGCTGCACACAGAAACTTGAGCCTTTACAACCACTTTAAAAGATGGGATAGTATACAGTATATGAGTGTCACTACTTTGATGTAAACAACATAATTTATAACACTCTTGCATTCTGTTATTAATTATATATTGAGCATATATATATATATATATATATATATATATATATATATATATATAGTTTTGAGTCACTACTACTATCTCATGGAAGGTCTTGGAATTGTGTGTATGACTCAAAGGAGAGGCTTTGCAGTTTTGGAATAATGCATTAGCACATCCTAAACAAAAACACTGATCACAGTGCAGGGGCGGACTGACAACTCATGGGGCCCCCGGGCAATAGGGGATCATGGGGCCCCTGTGTCCTTGCCCAAACTCAAAAAAGCCTATGAAAAAGGTACGAGGGGCATCTCATGGGGCCCCCTACTGACCCCGGGCCCTCGGGCAGTGCCCGAGTTTCCAAATGGTCAGTCCGCCCTGTCACAGTGTAATATACATTTAGCCCTGTTGATTAGTATGTAAGAGTTTATGTAAGAGTGTGATTTTCCATACATTTTAAAAGAATAATACAAAAACAATAGGGTACTGTCAGTGATACTTTTTTTTATTTGCACTAACATCCAAATTTTAAAGCTTTTCGGGGTGTACCCCTTCTTCCAGGTCCACTAGCTATCCGCTTTAGGTTTTGAGCAAAAAAAACCTGGAAGCCGATTGGTTTCTATGCAGAGCTGTACCAGATATTGCACTCCAACAATTTTGGTAAATCAATGCCAATGTATAATAGTACTGCTTGGAAGAGGTTGGTACACCCCGAAAGCTTGTCCTGTACATCTGGATGTTAGTGCAAATACGAAAGTATCATGGCCAGTTCTTAGTTGTTTTGTTGCAAGTGCGCTAATATGACTACATACACCTCAAAAATTAATAATATCACATTTTAAAAACAAACATCTGTAGTTGGTGGTAAGTGGACAAACCTGGAACATAAATGTACATGTCCATGCCTTCAACGTCAAAGTCATCTGTCTGGGTGTGATTGTAATAGCAGGTATAAACTCCTGTGTGATAGGCAGAGGCGTTCTTCACTTCTATCACTGACACAAAAGAGTCCGCTGTTGTTTTCTTCATGCCGGATGTCTAGACTGTCATCACCATCCTCCTCAGTGGGATAGTGCCAGCTCAGCTCACTCTCACCACTGCAGCTTATTGAAAAGGAATTGTGTAACTGTACTATCATTTCTTCGCTTTCTGGAAAGAGCATCGGCAAGGGGCTCATACCGTAAGTAAACAATGGAGCTGTAAAGCAAACACAAGACTTTCCAATCAGCCTACAGTACATGTCATTTTATCCAAATATCCTCTTCTTGATAATCAGCTATGAAGAAAAAAGGATGAATTTTAAAGTGGAACTCCACTCTCCCAATCAACATGGACTATTTCTAATCCTTACTCTGCTAGCAATAGTAAATAGCTAAGAAAGTACAGTTGTGTTCAAAATAATAGCAGTCAGACATCACTAACCTGATCAATCACTGTTTTTGGTAGAAATGATATTTCACATGGCAAATAATTTACTAGCAAGTGTAGTAGAGTAATAGAAATCCAACAGACCCAACAGTCATGACATGCATGCTGCTGATTCTGTGTAATTGAATCACTAATTGAAAGGGGCATGTTCAAAATAATAGCAATGTGGAGTTCTATTAGTGAGGTCATTCATTCTTTGAAAAACAGGTGGCAATTATTGCCCTTATTTAAGGAAGGAAGGCAGCAAATGTTGTACATGCTGGTTACAGTGCATTTCTCTCTGAAATTCTGAGGAAAATGGGTCCTTCCAGACATTGTTCAGAAGAACAGCGTACCTTGATTAAAAAGTTGATTGGAGAGGGGAAAACATATAAAGAAGTGCAGAAAATGATAGGCTGCTCAGCTAAAATGATAGCAAATGCTTTAAAATGGCAACCAAAACCTGAAAGACGTGGAAGAAAGCAAAAAACTACCATTCGAATGGATAGAAGAATAGCCAAAATGGCAAGGACTCAGCCAACAATCAGCTCCAGGAAGATCAAAAAGGTCTAAAGTTACCTGTGAGTACTGTTACAATTAGAAGACGCCTATGTGAAGCCAAGCTATCTGCAAGAAGCCCCTGCAAAGTCCCACTGTTGAAAAAAAGACGTGCTGAAGAGGTTACAATTTGTCAAAGAGCACATTGACTGGCCTAAAGAAAAATGGCGCAACATTTTGTGGACTGATGAAAGTAAGATTGTTCTTTTTGGGTCTAGTGGGCGGAGACAGTTTGTCAGACGACCCCCAAACACTGAATTCAAGCCACAGTACACTGTGAAGAAAGTGAAGCATGGTTGCGCAAGCATCATGATATGGGGATGTTTCTCATACTACGGTGTTGGGCCTATTTATCGCATACCAGGGATCATGGATCAGTTTGAATACATCAGAATACTTGAAGAGGTCATGCAGCCTTATGCTGAAGAGGAAATGCCCTTGAAATGGGTGTTCCAACAAGACAACGACCCCAAACACACCAGTAAACATGTAACATCTTGGTTCCAGACCAACAAGATTGACGTTATGGAGTGGCCAGCCCAATCCCCGGATCTTAATCCAATAGAAAACTTGTGGGGTGACACCAAACATGCAGTTTCTGAGGCAAAACCAAGAAATAAAGAAGAACTGTGGAATGTAGTCCAATCATCCTGGGCTGGAATATCTGTTCACAGGTGACAGAAGTTGGTTGACTCCATGCAACACAGATGTACAGCAGTTCTCAGAAACAGTGCTTATACAACTAAATATTAATTAAGTGATTGGAAGGAAAGCAAAATCTTTACACATTTTTCAGTTTATATAGTGAATATTTGAATTTGTAAAGAAGAATACAAACACGGCTATTTTTTTGAACAGTCTAATGTTCACTTTTCTTCAATTTTTTTAGAGAAACAACACAAATTTGATATATTTTTCTTCATGTTTTGATTTGGAATAGAATGTGTAGTGTTTCCAATGCATTTGTGTGGATGGAAATAAAAGCTATTAGAAGGATTTTGAGCTTTATTCACTTTTTTCAACACACTGCTATTATTTTGAACAACTGTATATATTTATTTATTTTAACCTTTTTTTGCATTCCTTCATTTACTTCCTAGTTTCCATGCCTAGGCAAAGGATGTCATACATCCCAGGAGTCTTCATGAGAGGAAGGAGGGTTCTCAGCTCAGCCAATGCCTGAGATAAGGACAGATAGATTCCAGGAAGTAACTGCGACATGAATCATCTGCCCTTAATCAAGATGGTCACTGCCAGAAATGCCAGAAGGTGTTTTTCAAAATGATTTCTCAGCAAAATAAAGTATCGAGACATGGATGGGTTGAAGGAGTTTGTTTTGAATATTAAAAATTAATTATATAGAATTTTTTGTTTGTGGTACCCAGATGCAGTGCAGCTCCACTTTAAAAAACAGGTGTCTTTATTTCAAGTTAGACCTAGAGGTCTTATGTTTAGAAAGTATCAAAATGAAAATATTTCATGTTTCTTAAAGCAACCAGTCAGATTGCCAGTTGCCAAGGAGCCAGCTGAATTCTTGGGTCCTAAAGATACATGAGGTCTATGGGACTATTGTACTCTGACAATGTTAGAAGCATAGTGGTTCCATCAAACCCAGTACAGTACTCAATGTACAAAAAATTAATTAAAGAACATTGATTTGCTTTTTGCTGGTGATGTGAGAAACAGAAGCCTTCCAGGAAAATGCTGATATTGTGATAATGAATTGTCCAATTTTGTATGTGGAGAATCATTGATTATATAAATCCAGAAATCAGGATTTGATTACTGCTCAAGTGAATCAGCATAGTAAAAGAACTGCCATTCCCTGGAAAATAATATGATTAGCCAAATTTACATTTATGATAGGTCTTGAGAATCAAATCACTCATCTATCATTAATTACATTTATCTTTTTGTTACTAACAGATATGAAATAGCATTATCTATTGTCTTCTATGCATTACTTACTGCTATCGACACATCTCTTATTGGTTACATGTTAAGCACTATAAGCACTTCATTAAATATACTATTCATCTGAAAGTTTAGTAGTCGCTGAGAGCAATAAAAGAGATAGGGACTGATTTCAAGTCTGAATTCCAGCCACACAGCTAAATAATAGCGTACCCACAGCATGATTTATAATTACAGCCAGTCCTATGATTCAGGCATTTCTGCTAAACAGCATAGCCAGGTCAGTGGCCGCAGTTCTCTTCACTGCAAATAAAGTGTAACTAAACTCATTCATAATCAACATTAACTATTTTATTACTTATGCTGCTAGTCTTAGTGAATAGAAAGGAATGTTAATCATAGTCATTTGTTTTAACCATTCTTTTTTTTTTTTTACTTTTTTCCAGTTGCTTCCTGGTCTCTGGCTTAGGCCCAAATTATGTCATACATAAGGAGTCTTCATGGGCATTTTTTTTTTTCTTTCATCTGGAGGAGGGGAGAAGGGGTTGTGTCAGCTAAGCACACCCTCCTGTCTGTGTGCCTCTCAGCTAAGGGCAGATGGATTCCTGCAAGTAAATGCTACACAAATCATCTGCCCTTGCTCAAGATGGCAATGGCTAGAAATGCCAGGGGGTGTTTTTCAAAGTGAAGCATGCAACAAAATAAAGCATGGATGGGTAAGTTTGCTTAAAATATAACAAATGAATTAAATAGCATTTTCAGTTTGTGGTTCTCAGATACAGTTTATTTCACCCTGCAAATTACAGTTTGGTCACCAACCCAACCCCAAAATATTGATTGGACAAAGACAGCGAAACACCACACTAATGTGATCATCACTGTGCTCTCTCTGCTCTCTACTCATGCAAGAAAGCTCTAATTGTAAGACTAGGGCAGGCCATAGATGATGTGATTTTCTTTCCTGCTACGCACTCAATTTCCCCATCAATACAGTCAGTGTTGATGGAGGAATACTTTCCCATCCTCTAGCCATTGTGTTCTCCCTGCGGGGGGGGACAGTGGGAGCAGTTCCTCCCAGGAGAACATAGTGATTATTGCTAGCAGCTATAACCGCTGGTAAAAATTGCATGCGGAAAGTCCAACATACTGGTTGTACCCAAATCGATTGATGGATTGACTTGGGTACAATCAGGCTGCCCACCAATGGATCGAATCTCAGCCAGTCCCCGCTGAAATGACCGAGATTTGATCCATCTATGGCCGGCATAAAGCTAGGTTCACAACTATGCATTTTTTAATGTATTTGCTGAACCTCAAAAATGCACAACAATCCACTTGCGATTATTTCCTATGGTTCTGTTCTCGTCTATGCAGTTTCCTGCAGTGCATTTTTTGGAAAATTGCAGGGTTTTTTTTACAGGCAGGATGCTGTGTTTATGGGTCCATAGACTTCAATGGAAGTGCATCAAAAATGCATGAAAAAACATGCATTTGTGGTAGAGATTTGTGTTTAAGAGTCAGCCTCCTCCTCCTCCTCCAAACAATGCATGAAGCATGAAGATGCATAGAAAAATATGTGAAAAATGTGTTGCAAAAACACAAACCAAAAAACGCATCAACCACACATGCACAGGTGCCAACCTAGCCTAACAGCACTGTAAGAATCAGTACAGCTCACAGTGCAGTCCCTTCCTCTCCCAGTTTGAATTCTTTAGTGCAGGTGCTTACAGGAAGCTAATATATGTGTGTGTATATATATATATATATATATATTAATATATATATGTACATACTGTATATATTCAGCTAATTTGACTGCCTGCTTTACGAGTATATATTTCATCCTTATATAATGAAGACATAAAAGGATTTAATAGTGATATTTAGTTCTGCCTGAAATTACTTTTTAACTCATACTATGCAGATGCATTCATCATCGGCTTATACAAATATTGCAAAATGTTCATGCTTACCAATAAGCAGGAAGCATCCCAATATTAGGGATGTCCTTGGGGAATGCGCCATTGTGGCTGAAACTGCAATGATAGGAAACATGATTAGTGCACATCACACTGAAAAACAGCAGGAAATAACATTATTTAACTGTAGTAATGTGTTTTTTTTACTGTCTTGCATGGCTTTTATATACATTTTGTGGTGTACAGTAAATGTATTAAAATGTCTTTATTCAGCTATGCAGCTTAAGGGGAATAATTGGGGAAACAAAAAGCCCCTTCCACAGTCAGATAAACATAACGAGTGCAATAACATACACATTAAAAGAAAGAATGCACACGGAAGTGTAAAGAAATAAACAGTAATGTGGCCCCCAGGAAATGTCCATGGAATGGCCCTCTGCTGGTCTCTAGCTCTGCTTCTCAAGTACTGCCATTAAAAGGCTGGAAGTGAGCTAGTCCCAGTCTACCGAGTGACATGCAAGACACTACAGGAAAACAATATTCATAATCTGATGGATGGACTACACCATTCAATCTCCATCAAAATCTGTTAAATCAACTCCACTGTATAGATTGCATATCTCAGAAAAGTGTAATTGTCTTTCATAGGATTGGATGTGATAACAGAGAGCAGAACATTAATTCTAGACAAAATAAACAATCAGAATCTCAAAGAGAAAGAAAAACAAGAAATGCTATGATATCATTCAATCCAAATGTACATGATCTATAGCAGTGTTTCTCAACCTTTTTTCAGTCAAGGCACCCTTTTAAATTATGGACAGTCTTGAGGCACCCCATTCTAAAATGTGAAAAACTATTCTAATACTTTTATATAACGCAGCAACATCCACACACGTAGGACACCCAACATTAGAGGTGATTTATTCTTCCAAAGCAAATATACTTTTGCACACTGGAACTGACTAGTATTCCATTGTTTCCCTTCTCACTCAATTTTTCTCCATCACTGAGCTAATGTGTCCCCAGCACTGATGGAAAGGGGCAGGGGAGCATCAAGCTAGGATGCTGTGCAGGCAACTGACATCAACTGATGATGTCATTGGTTGTCAGGACACCGGCGGCTAGAAGGACGTAGTGGTGCACGATGAAAACCTGTGGCTTTGTGTTTTGGGCAATCTCGACACATTTTGTCAAGACATCCCTGAAGAAACTCAAGGCACCCTGGTTGAGAAAGGCTGATCTATAGGCTTAACATTTTCCCTGTCAGTATGTCAGCAATAAGACAGTAATGATGCCACTTTGTAGGAATCACAATTACATATTCGAAAATAGGTTTAGCAAAGATGCACAGGAAGCCAAGATTTGTAAATCTGTTTTTTTTTTTCATTCACCACATCCTAGTGTTCTTATACATTTAAAATAAACATCCAAATGGATTGACTCACAACACATTAATCAAAATTATGAAGTGTTTGCATCATGAAGACCCGAAATCTGTACAGAAAGATTGTAGCAAGAAAGGCAACTAGATCTACTGCATATGGTCATTGCATCCAAGAAGCTAGATAGATAGATATCTTGTGGATATGGACTTCAAAGGGTCTCAGAGCTGAGCCTGTCTGTCTTTTATCAGGGTAGTCTTTGTCATTTCTATCTTTTGTCTAAAGCAAACAAAATTCTTTATCAATAATGTGACTGCATGCTACAAGCCTGATTAAGAAAGGCGAATTTTCCTTAAAAACACAATGACAAAAAAAAAACATGTCAATTTCGAAACAGTCAGTATCAAAATGGTTTGGATAAAGAGACATCTGAATAGAAAAACATACTATTCTGCATAGGCAGTAATATAAAATTTGTACATTTCTGGTGTATAGATGAAATATGAAATGGAAATGAATACTTCTAGGCCAATGCAGATGTGATTTGGGTGCCTAAAATGCAGATCATTCTGAATGATCAATGTCAGTGGCTAAATCGTTAGCACTTCCACCTGGCAGTTCTAGGGTTGCTGGTTCAAATCCCAAAAATATCGCCACCTGCCTGGAGTTTGCATGTTCTCCCTGTGCCTCCATGGGTTTCCTCCCACACTCCAAAGACATGCTGAAAAGTTAATTGGATTCTCTCTAAATTGGCCCTAATATGCAAATGAATGTAAGTTAGGGACCTTAGATGTACACCCCTTGAGGGTTAGGGACTGATGTGAATGTACAATATATATATAAAGCGCTGTATAAATTGACAGAGCTCTACAAGTACCTGTAATAATAATAAAGTCACCCAAAAGTGATACTTCAGTTTTCATTGTTGTTACACCAGATCACAAGTGGGATTCATATGAGATTCCTGCAACCAAACCCCCCAGCTCTACCTGGTTGACACAGTCATTACAAAGCAAATGCTGGTGTCCCCCTCCTCCATTTGCCATTATGTAGACATACCTCTCAACTGTCCTTCATTTAGAGGGATTGTCCATTTTTTGGGACTAAATCCCTCTGTTCTTATTTCCCCCTCAGTTGTCCCTCTTTTTGGACAGATGTGAGGACCTCTATAATAAATGCAATACTTGACTACCACACTACACTAAAACTTTCACAGAAACCTTTTTATTATCACATTAATATTTTTAAAAACAGTATAAGGGAAACATAATGATGAAAAAAAGCATTTCTCGGTTTAATCATTCATTTGTGTGTATCCATTCTTAATGGTCCAAGTAGCTGGGGGCATAACAGAGGACGTGTCTCCATGAGATGATACTACCTTCATTGTGACTATGTAGGAGGGGCAGAGATATCAGTTGGGTGTATGTACAAAGGTTATAGACTCATGTCATGCTCCCCCTCTAACAAGACTTCTGGACCAACATCATCATGTATAAAACTGTCTCTTTTTGTTACAACTGCTGCTCTTTCTCAAACATATCCAGTCAACTTTGAATAGCAAGGATTGTGCCTCTATACCATAGACCTAACACACTAAATCAACCTGAAACCAAAATTGTCACCAACAGGACAATTGGCTTCCCCCTTCATGAATTCTCCATAGTGCAGAATTGTCAAAAGGCTGGGGAATCCAGCTGTAAAAGTATGATGCCTTCAGAACAGCCTTAAGAATGTCACCACTGGATGCACCACAATAAATAAAAGTCTAGTAGGTGATTTTACCCAAAACCGTTCAATAATTATTTATTTTTGCATGTAGTGGATCTTTACGATATATGGACTACCTGGGACAATGGGTTACCTATATCCTTAGAGCTAAAATACACAAGTCATATATGATCCTCCAGGTTATGTAAAGTGCCCCCAGTCAGGTCACAGCTGTCCTTCCAGAACACATTTCAGAAAGCAAGAACAATGCAGTAATTGGGTACATTAGTATGGTACATTTTGAGAAAAGCATAACAAAGAGCTGATATACTATAAAGGTCATATAAATGCATCTGCCCTTCTGTTCATACACCAAAAACAGAAATTTCTACACACCTAGCTTGGTGTTAAGTTTAATGTCAGCCATAAAGTAGTAAGAAGAATTAACAGATAACTAGCAATTTGCTGCTGATAACTATGAGCATAGGAATAAAGCTGGGTATAGGCATAATAGCTTTAATGGGAAACTATAATGGTTCTGAGTCCATTCTATAAGCATTGGAACTTTTGTTTTTAATCTGCTGTATATTCACAGTATGTATATACAATATATATATAAACATTGAATACTTGACAAAGGATTCTTCCAGCACTATGAATTAGCTTAAGTGACAAGCACAGCAGATTCTGCTTTGTTTGACACTGAAGTTTCTCTAAATGCAATTTTAGACCGAGCCTAATTGATTTGTGTGTGCAAATTTCAGCAAAGCATTTTGTAAATTATTATTATTATTATACAGGACTTATATAGCGCTGACAGTTTGCTCAGCGCTTTACATAACAGTAGGCTTTTCACATCTAAGAATCAAATGGAAAGCCTAGAACATTTGAAAATGAACCTAGGACTCTACCTACTGATTTAGGTGCAAAAGAAAATATTAATGATCAATATTTCATATAGTATAAGAAAATAAAAAGAATTGTTTTTAGATATGACTATAGTAAATAAAGAAATAATGTACATGTATCTTCCAAAATTGCTATCTATATAAGTAAGGTTGGCCATACACTATACAATTTTCTTACAATTTTCTGTCCAATTTCTTTTCAATTTACCTTCAACTATGTAGTGCAAGGGCCTGGCTAATTGGATACAATTGAAAGTGTTGTTTAGGTTTGACCTCATATTATATGTTTTTTGGTAAATCTAAAGAAAATTGTATAATGTATAGCCAGCCTAAGTTTAGCAGAGCCTGTAGGTGTTTTATAAGATGACATTTGAGTGGTTACTAATGGTTTACTGAAATGAACCTGGTTACTTCACTATACACTGCCATCCTGAATAACTTGTCATTTTGGTGTTTATTTACTAAAGCTGGAGAGTGCAAAATCAAGCTCACTTCTGCATGGAAACCAATCAGGTTCTGTCCTCAGCTTGTTCAATTAAGCTTTGGTAATAAAACATGGAAACTGATTGGTTCCTATGTAGAATCAAGCGGTGAACAGAACCTGATTGGTTTCTATGTAAAAGTGAGCCTGGTTTTGCACTCTCCAGCTTTAGTAAATAAATCCTTTGTGACGTGTTTTTTTTTTAAAGACAAACCACTTTTCTAACAGAATGCTGGCGGCAGGAGTGGACTGACAACTCATGGGGCCCCCGGGCAATAGGAGATCATGGGGCCCCTGTGTCCTTGCCCACACTCAAAGCACACCCAAAAAAGCCTAAAAAAATATGCCAGGGGCATTTCATGGGGCCCCCTACTGACCCTGGGCCCTTGGGTAGTGCCCGAGTACTCAAATGGCTAGTCCGCCCCTGGCTGGCGGATTCAATTTTATTACAAAAACAGTGCTCCACATGCCATTGAGGAATCACACCAGAATGGGTCCAATTGAGAGACAAAAGAAAGTAATGTATTTTATTATTGCTGCCAGTTATTTATTACATAAAGCAATAAATGGGAACTAGGATAGCTGAAATTAAGGGAAGACATTTTACTAATGCATATTGTTT